AAAAATTTTATTTTAAATTAAAAAAAAATAATTGACTGACACACAAGAATTTCAAGAAATGACATATGGTCAAGTAGCAATGGTGATGAAGAAGGAAGTGCAGGCTGCTCTGGCTTCAAAAAATAAGCCCCAGGAACTGATGGAATCCCAACTGACATAATTCAACAAACAGATGCTGCCCTGGATGTCCTCATCAGGTTGTGCCAAGAAATCTGGAGGACAACTTGGACAACTGACTAGAAGAGATCCATATTTATTCACATTCCAAAAAAAGATGACCCGACAGAGTGTGGAAATTACTGAACAATATCACTAATATCACATGCAAACAAAATGCTGCCGAAGATTATCCAAAAATGTCTAGAACAGTACATTGTCAGAGAACTACTAGCAATACAAGCTGTGTTTAGAAGAATTTGTGGTACTAAAGACAATATTGCCAATATCAGATGGATCTAGGCAGAAAGCAAAGAGTACCAGAGAAATGTCCATCCATGTTTCATTGACCATGCAAAGGCATATGACTATGTGGATCACAATAAATTGTAGTTAGAACCTTGAGAAAATGAGAATCCCAGGACACTTGATTGTCCTCACAGGACAATCTGAACTAGGCCCAGGAAGCACTCCTCACAACGGAGCAAGGAAACACTGCACGGTTCAAAAAAAATATACAGTAGACCTGTGAATAACGCAGAGGTTAGGGGCAATCCCTCAAGCAGCCAGAAATCAACTTATAAAAACTTAAATACTCATAACCTACCACTGATTAGAATAAATAATTCCAATAAGATAAATACCCAATTAACATTAAAATAGCATTTCCAAAATCAGATAAAGTGGTATTTTACAAAAAGTTAAGGACGTTCATGATGTAATAGCAATAATTTCACTAATTTTTTATTCTTAAAATCAAAACACCGAGCCACACACTGGATTCATTAATAAAAATAAAAAAATCAGCATATAAGTGGACCTGTACAGTTCAAGCTTATGTTGTTCAAGGGTTGACTGAATATAAATAACTCTGCCAAAGCTGTGTCTTTTGCTTTAAATCCTACATCTGTCACCATCTGATTCCCAGTTCTTAGAAGCAGAACCAGTGGCTTATGGCCTGACCTAATGTGCCAGCTTCTGCAGCCTTGTGAAGCCAGCATTCTGTCATTTTGTCTGACAATGTGGATTCATCAGCTCCCGTTACCTATGTGTTGGGGAAAACATTCAGCTTGATGCCTAACCTACTGATGGTGAGATTTTTCAGCCTCAACAACTGTGTGAACCATTATACTAATAGTCCATTAGTTCTGTGAAACATTGCAGCCAATTACAAAATTCAAAGGATGGGAGGGAAAGAACTGAGGGGAGGAGGACATGTCAATGTTAGAGATGATGGAGTGGTAAAGCTGTTTGGAGATGTCGGACATTAGCAAAATCTTTAACCTTTACCTTATAGGAACAAGTTTTGTGCAGATCCTGCTAAAAGAAATTACTCTTTTAGGAATGCAAGGAATCCAAATGCAAAGGGAGCTCATCAAAGGAAAAAGGCAGGGAAAAAAGGTATAATTGTGCTGCAAAGTCCCCATTTGGTATGTACACAGCAAACATAGTAATCTAAGTCTACATCAGAACAGGATAAGAAAAAACGTGCTTCCATGGAAAAAATGAAATAGATGGCCTACTTGACACATTTGGCATTGTTGTTGTTGTACCATAGAGTTGGAACTGACCCATAGCTGACTCTCAATGAGATGGGTTTAGGTGAGTAGGTGTGTCGGAGGCAATGCGATTGGCACAGGATAGAGCAGGGTTTAGGGCCACTGTACATCGGGTCACTATGAGTCGCAGATGACTCGAACACATGAGAAAATACTCTTAAATCTGCATCAGTCGCATTAACAACTAATATACATTCTTATGATCGTTAATACAGGAAATGTTGTGTATCATCAAGTTGGAGCTAACCCGTAACAGACCCTCCAGAGGGTTTTCAGAGGCAGTTATTGCATGAGAGATTGACCAGAGCAGCCGGTAGATTCAAATCACATGCCTTCGAGACTGCAGCACAGCTTCTTGAGACGAGGCCACCAGAGCTCTCTTAAGAAATATTCTCTTTTATTTCCTCAAGATGTAAAAGGAAGAAAATGAAATATAGCTTGATTCTACATCAACCCTGAAAAATAGTATCTACAGCTCTATATAATAGCAGACACCAGCAAAACATGCATGTATGGTATCCTACACAATTAGAAAGTAATTATGCGAATATAACAAATAGGAGAATAAGAATCACATTCACTAGCAGTAAATAACCACACTTAGGAGGTTTCTGGGGAAGGATGAGGTACAGTTAACAACATACGTTTATAAGAAAGCCCTGACATAGATAGGCAGTAAGGGGAGACTGATCTCTAGGTAATCTATACTACCGCTAATCTAAGAAATGTCATTTCAAGCTTTTTTAAACAACAAACCAGCCAAAAGAAGTACTTTAATAAATACTCCATTGAAATAGTTGTAGGCCAATAAGTTTTCCTCAATAAATAATTTTACATAATGTATCAATTGATTTCAATCACTTCATAGTGTAAAGGTATTTTGTGGTATTTCCACTGTAATCCTTTAGAAGCTCACCCAGAGTCTTCAAATTCTTTGGCATGATTTATAGTGATTTTACGTCTTCCAAATGCATTACTCTCTCACAGATACAACCATATATAATTACTACTTACGCCCTGCTCCCTGGATTTTCATTCTTTAGTGTAACTTACTATCTGTGCTCATATAGTTGCTTCTCTCTGGACCTCTTCTTGTTCAAAAGTGTTTTACCTAACCAACTTCAATTCTTCTAGTCACATAGCCCTGGTGTGTCCACTTGCCCTACAGAGGTAACTTGTGGTCGCTGTGAAGCTGAACACTGTGACACTGATAAATCAAATGTGATAACTGTTACCCATGGTGGACAGTGTTTAGTGGCACGCCCCGGTTAAAACAAGCTTAGAAGCAGGTGTGGCATCTACTTCCATAAATTGTTTGCCTCCAGAAACCCTATGAGAACCTGGAGAAAGGATTAAAATCACTCAAGTGTTGAGTACTTTTGTTCACAGGGTCGCTATGAGTCGCCTATGACTCATCGGCACTTAATAACAACTAACTTCAAAATCCAGAACTGGAATCACTTAGTGATGAGCATAAATTAAGACGAAACCACCTTTGGCTCCCATAGGAACTTTTACATGCCTTTACCACATTTCACTTTATTATAAAGGATAATGCTTGCATGTCTATTCATCCTCCTCACAACTGCAAAAGGATGATTTTCCTCTCTGATACTACAGCACCTTACAAAGGACCTGACATGAAGAAAGCGCTCCTTGGTTGATGATGAAATGGTAATATTTAACATTTACTGAGAACATACTTAAAAATATACCAAAACAAGCAAAAATGATCCTGTGAGAAGATACCCAATATCCATGACATAATGTTACCAACTGAAAAGAAATAATTTCATGTAACACCAAAAATTATCAGACAGGGTTACTCTGTAATTTTGGTGTACCAAGCCTAACAGGTCTCTCTCTATCAACCCATTTAAACCCAGAAATAAAGCACAACGTGATCACAAAAAAAAAGGTAAGCATTCTCTTCAAATTAAAGTGAACTGCTTCTGAACTAATGGGAACACTACTGTCCTTCAGTGTATCCTTCTACCCAGCAAAAAGTAACACTCCAAAGGATCAAATTTTTCTGTTCCCAAGAAAATCTAATCCAAAATAAGGTCCTAGCCTCTTTAAACTCTCCTCTAATTATCCAGAACAATCAAAACTATACAACAAGTCTGTTTCTGCCTTTTCTTATTGAGAGAGACCTCATCTGTTCCTCATGATATGCCTGTTACTTTAGCAAGTTAATAAATCTATTTGACCAAAAATATGTTCCTAGTGATCACTGATTACTTGATATAAACATTAGAATAAATACTTACCATGTATTATGTTATCCTTCCAAGAACTCAGTGAGTCGAGGACTATTAACTGGAAGAACATCCATGGCACCCAAATGCCATGATTTGAAATACTGCATTGTACCAAAACTATAGAAAGGGCCTACAAAAAAACACATTGCCCCTCACTTCTTTTCATTATCTTAACCATATCACCTTAAAAACAGTAATTCATTAAATGCCAAAAGCAAAGATGCACACAGAAACAGAAAAAGTAGCTAGCACAAAGCCTAACACTTTTTATTTCTCCTATAAATACTGTTGTTGTTGTTATGTGCCGTCGAGTTGTTTGCGACTCATAGCGACCTCATGTACAACAGCCCTAAACTGTGCTCTATCCTGTGCCAATCCCATTACCTCTGACACACCCATCCTGAGTACCCCAGTCACTGAATCAATCAACCTCATAGAGGGTCTTGCCCTCCTGCGCTGTCCCTCTACTCTACCCAGCATGATGTCCCTCTCTAAAGACCTGTCTCTCCTTACAACATGTCCAAAGTATGTCAGACATCTCCAAAATAAGTACTATAATTAACTTCAAGGAAACTTAATCTTAATAGCTATATTTTTGGGGAAATACTGTAAATCTCTGGTACAACAAAATGTAAAAGTCATACTTTTTTCTAAATAAATGCACTCTGTCCTCAACTTCTGGTCTAACATATCCTTAATAATACTCATGAGATCTCAACTAGGGCATCATAGACCGATGTAATGCAGTAGCACTCCTTTTCTGCCAATGAATGTGCATGATACTTAGAAAAAAAGGAAAGGACCAGTACTTGGAAAGGACATCATGCTGGGAAAGGTGGAGGGTCAGAGAAAGACGGGAAAACGCCCAATAATAACACAATGACTGTAACAATGGGCTCAAACATATCAGAAATTGTGGGGATGGTACAGGACAGGGAAAGGTTCACATCTGTTGTTGATAATATCACCATGAGCCAGAGGTAACCCAATGCTACCTAACAACAACAAAAACAGGAACACTTACCAAAATCACAGTTGGCTTGTAGTAAGGTTTCCAAATTGTATAGCTGTTGCCTAATTTAAAAAACATAAAAGTTAATTTACCATCATTTAAAGCATGTAACAATATCTGGATAATTATTCCAAATTTTCTCTCTTTACTAATACAATGGAACCAAATAACAGTTGACCCTCCAGCAGGGTTTTATACACTGTAAATTCCAGGGGAGGAGACTGTCTTGTGTTTCTCCTTCAGAATTGCTCATGGATTCGAATCACCAGAGAAGCGCCACCTTTAAGTTAGTCCCTACAACCAGACGATGACACCTGAAAGCTCCCTTACAAATCTATTATTTAGTTTTGATGTTTTTATTTGTTGATGAGATGTAATAATATTTATGAAAGGATTAATATTTAGTGAAGACTCTGATAGAAGAGAAAATGTGCCTTTGCTCCATTTTTCAATATCATAACATTTTCAAAAGTTGAATATAGTTTAGAAATAAAATTCAAATTATCATAGATTTCACTATCAGCAAGATAGTTCATATATTCAGGTTTAAAGCACTTATATAAAACATAAAGGTTAACAGTTAAAATGAATCATTAACTTATATAGTAAAGCAGTAATACTATTAAGAAAAGGAATAGAATAATGTGGACAGGAGTTATCAGCCAAAGCTACACTGATGATGTTCCAGCTTAATTCCTGATAGTAATCTCTTGTCCTTCTTCCAAGTTGCCTTTCAACTCACAGAAATTGATCTAACACATTCTCTGCATTATTCATGAGATCCTAATTAAGGCTTCATGATCCTAAAAAGGATTCATAGCATACATTCTAAAGACTCATTCATTCAGGAATATTTAACAGCTTATTCTTGCAACAACATAGAAGGTGCAAAACACCACACAATAATATCTTGTAACCTGGTCTCAAAGGAGTAATGGAGGGGGGAACCTTCCACATTTCAATTTAAATACAGCATATATGCCTTATATATAATTTTGCATAATAATCTTCCCTCAACAACTGACTCCACATCAAAATGTGATCCAAAATCTTAGACTGAAATTTTAAATAAGAAATTATTTAAAATTTGTCAATTGTGGTAATAGTATTATAGCATTATAAACCAGGAGGCAAGGACTCTGAAGCTTCGTGTGACATACTTTGGGCATGTTGCAAGGAGAGATGAGTCCTTGCAGAGGATGTCATGCTTGGGAGGATGGAGGGACAGTGCAAGAGAAGAAGACCCTCGATGAGATGGATTGATTCAGTGACTGGAGTAACGGGAGCAGGTGTGTCAGACAGTAAGGCTGGCACATAGAGCAGGTTTCAGGGCTACTGCACATAGGGGCACTATGAGTCGCAAGCAACTCAATGGCTCATAACAAAAACAAAAATGTATAGGGAGCTTTGGTGGCATAGAGGTAAGAAGCTGCACTGCAAACCCAAAGCCTCGTGGTTCAAATCCACCAGCTACTCCACAAAAGAAAGATGAGCAATCTCCTTCCTTGTGATTTGCTGCCTCTGAAAATATACTGGAAGGTCAGCTGTGAGTTGGTTCTGACTGTTGTTGTTATGTGCCATCGAGTCACTTGAGACTCATAGCGACCCTATGTACAACAGCCCTAAACTCTGCTCTGTCCTGTGCCAATCGCACTGTCTCTGACACTCCCATTCCAATTATCCCAGTCACTGAATCAATCCACCTCATAGAGGGCCTTCCGTTCCTGCGCTGTCCCTCCACCCTACCAAACATGATGTCCTTCTCCAAGGACCAGTCCCTCCTTACAACATGTCCAAAGTAAGTTAGACGGAGCCTCAGAATCCTTGACTCCAAGAAGCCACCGGTTTAACCCCTTCCAGGATGAATCTGTTTGTTTTCCTAGCAGTCCATGGTAGCCTCAATACTCTTCTCCAGCACCACAGCTCAAAGGCATCAATTCTCCTTCTATCCTCCTTGGTCATTGTCCAACTCTCTGATGCACAAAACAACAACATATTACATGTATGATATGTATATATATGTATAAAGATTTAAGAATAAGATGGTATGAATTGGCATTAAAATAAAGTCAAAAGAAAGGAGACAGGATATAAGAAATCGTGACAGCACTTTATTAAACGTTTTAACAGTATGTGAAAATATACTAGATTATTTTCTGTGTCTAAAAACTTTCATTAAAATTTTGCACAAGATCTTGAAATAGAATACAAATTATATTTCGATTACACAATCTAAAATAAGTATTTGGAAATATTTGTTCACTGTCTAAATATTGCTTAAAGACTATGTTTATTAAATAGCAAAAGCATGTTAAGATCTTCCCAAAATTATTCGACAATTCAAAGTCCTATATATTTGTCTTCAATACTCTAGTGGGCTGATGGTAGGAAGCTCCACTATAATCCAAAGCACATGGTTCAAATCCACCAGATGCCACGTGAGAAACAGAAGCTCTATCTCTTCTGATGAGATTTACTGCCTCTGAAAACCCTCTAGGGGATCAGCTATAAGTGGGTTCCAATTTGATGGCACACAACAACAATACATAGTATCATGTACAGAGGATAGATTACGAAAAGAATTAAAAAGAAACTAACTTAAAACACTATTCCATCAATCATAGCAGCTTAACTGTTACTTAAAAAATAATAATAATTTCAAACTCAGATTCCAACTTCAAGTTAGCAATCCTCCTTCAAGCTCCCAAGGTTGTAAATCTTTAACAGAAGAGTGTCTATAATTCTCCATAGGAGTTGTTCAGGAATTTGAAAGAGCAGAAAAGCATAGCCTTTGGATTATTAGTAGCCCAACTTGCTATGAACCACATATCCCTAAAACCATACTGAAACAACAAACCACTTCAGAGTGTTGTTATTATTCCTTTTCTTAAGTTACATTCTCGGTGGTCTCTAACAATTTTAATATTAGGAACCAACTGCCAATGTAATTTATAAAATGGAATATTATCTACTCTCAAAAGCAGTTATAACAAACAAACATACCTGAGTAAGTGGAAAAGTTTTCTAGTTGAGTCAACTAATGCAGTTTCTGTAACCCATTGAATGCCAAATATTTCCACTGTGTCCTCTTCAAAATTGGTTGGTAAAGGATCAAGATTCAAAATTAGTCTGAAATAAAAAATTCTGATTTAGTTTCACAAAAGTATGCTCATATTTAATACCAGGCCTTTCTTGATATTATACATATCTAGATTATACACCATATACTAAAAACTCTGTCATAAAATCAGGAAATGCCTTAGTTACATGTTCAGGATTACTACTTTAACTTTTGCTTTTAGGCATGTCAAGTTGCCTCTAACTCCAAGCAATTTCTGTTCAACAGAACAAATACGGCTGAGTCCTGCTCCAGCCTCAGTACCATTCTTACAGCCACTGCATCAACCCATCTTACTGAGAAACTTCCTCCTTTTTTTCACTGACACTCTATTTTACCAATTGTAATATTCTTCTCCAGAGACTGGCCTCTCCTGATAAAAATCACTAAAGTTCGTGAGGTGAAGTCTCACATTCCTTGATTCTAGAAAGCACTGTCGGTGGAATTCTTTATTCATTTGCTAGTTCTTCATTCTTCAGACAGTTCATAGGACAGTCAATACTCTTCATCAAAACTAATCTATCAGTTCTTTGGTTTTCTTTATTCATTGTCCATTTTCATATGCAAAGAGACAACTTGAAAATATGACTTGGGTCTGGTGTACTTAGTATTCAAAATATATCTTTGTTCATTGATACTTTAAATAGGTCCTTTACAGTAGATTTGTCCAAGCAACACATCCTTTATTTTGTTGACTGTTGCTTCCATGGTCATTGACTGTTCTTTTATGCTGTTGAGTGAGAAACAATCTGTAGCTGACACACCCAAAGGTTTCAAAGGCAGTTAACTGCATAGGAGATTGCCCAATCTTTTCCCACAGAGCAGCTGGGGTGGGATATTTAAACTGCAGGCCTTTGGGACTACAGCTCCACTTCTTACCACTCTAAACCTAATATTCATCTTTCTTCATTTTAAAGTATGCAGTATCCCATTTTATTTAAAGGACTGCTTCTTGGTCTATGTATATATTCTGTATGAGCACAATTAAATCTGTAGCTATGCGGCATTAAAAATAGAGTCATACATCGTGAAAAAAGAATAGCTAAAAATTAACATGGAAAGGAAACTGCAAAATGAGCCTATGGAATACAATTTTGCTTATCTTAATTAGTGGTCTCTTCAGTTGAATAATCTCTTTTAAGTGTTGCAAATAAGTGTTCCCAAAATATTTCCAAATATTAGCTTTACTGCAATATGTGCTTAGCCGACTAAGGCAAAAACATTGGAAAATTATTATTTCTGTGAACTTACACAAACTTTGTGCATTACAAATTTTAATTTGATAAAAATCTGGCTTATATAGGTGCATAAGTGTGTGTAGGAACTAAGATACAACAATGCTGTGTGTCTTACTTGAGAATTACTGGGAAGCTCTGGAATGTTATTTTATTCTTTAGAAGGAAGCATCATTCCAAACTTCAGGTAGTTCAGAATTCATTGCAGTAAATGAGAAAAGATTGAAGCTGTCAATAATTTTCTTAATTTAGACCAACAATCCACATCCAGAAAAGCAGTGGTCAAGAAGTCAAACAACAAGCTGCACTGGGAAAATAAGCTGCTGTGGACCTCCTGAAAGTGCTTAAGAGTAAAGATGTCAGTTTAAAGATTAAGGTGCACCTGACTCAGGCCATGGCATTTTCAACTGCTTCATATGCATGTGACAGCTAGAAAATAAATAAGAAATGTCAAAAAAGGACAAATCTGTCTTGAAAGAAGTGAAGTAAGAGTGCTCCTTTTCAGCAGAGATGTTGAGATTTTGTCTCATACTTTGGACATGTCATCATGTCCCTGGTAAAGGACATTATCCTTAGAAAAATAAGAGTTGATGAAAGAGGATGTCCCCCAATGAGATGAATAGACACAGTGACTGGAACAACTGGTTTAAACACATAAGAGACTATAAGGATGACAAAGGATTTGTCAGAGTTTTGTTTTGACAGCAAGTAACAACAATGACAGTAAATGGGAAGTCCAACTCCCTATCTAAAATGAGATAGCAGTGGGGTAATAAGAGAAATAATTTACTGACCTCTCCATACTAAAATACTTTTGTACAACTAACCAGGAACTCAACAACAGATTATGTTTCTAGCTGTGCGATATATTTATCTGATTACGAAAGTATTACTGGTTGTACAATCCCAGAGGTAAGCGGTTTGAATCCACCAGATGCTCTGCTGGAGAAGGAGGGGCAATCTCCTCCTGTACTAGTCAGATCCGATTTGATGGTACATATACAAAAAAATAATACATTTTTTAAAAAATATACTACCGGCAAAATTAATTTATTGCTGTTGTTATTATATGCCGTCGAGTCGTCTGCGACTCATAATGACCCTATGTACAACAGTCCTAAACACTACTCGATCTTGTGCCAATCTGTCTCTGACACACCTACCCCCTTTAGCGCAGTCACTGAATCAATCCATCCCATCGAGGGCCTTCCTCTCCTGCACTGTCCCTCCAGTCTCCGAAGCAAGATGTCCCTCTCCAAGGACTGGTCCCTCATTGCAACATAATTTACACGTCTAAAATAATCAACAATGCTGATCAAGAAAAAGCCAAGTCTCTGTTGTATGTGGGGTGGGTTTTTCTTTTAAACCTACCGTTTAAGGGCTCCGCTGGAAAGGTAGGACTCTCCAGAGAAACCTTTTCCTCCTCTATCTTCAAAAGCACAAGAAAAGCAAGGAGGTTTGCACCATTCCGTTCCCAGTTCCAACTCCAAACTGTCAGTCAGGAACACCGATGCAGAACTGTTATCCATTATTTACTTCATGTCCTAGAAAATTTACGGTATGTTATGATTACCAAAAAGAACTTTCAAAAATGTTCTTGTAGATGAGGCAGGCCAAGAGGTTACAATCTCAGGAAGCAGGAATCCTGCAAAGCAACAAGAAAAAGCTCTCAACCTCCCGTAGAAAGGAAAACACAAGGACAAGCCAAATAACTTTTAAAATTAAATTTATCAGAATGCGAACAAAAAGCACCCTTGATCGGCTCGTCTAGGTCGGATCTGTAGTCCAAGCAGTGGCGAAGAGGAAGGAGGGAAATGGTTACAGGACAGAGATAAAGGCTCAAGCCTGAGGCCTTGAACTGTACCCTCAGCTAAGTTACACGGAGCTGCAGAGTCTGTTTCCCCGCAGAACTGCAGGGGAAACTTTCACGCAGTTTCAGGGAGGGAATCACAGGGACAGTGCCCAGTGCCGAAGATCAAGACTCAGGGACTAGACCTACCAGGCAGCCGGCAAAAGTGAATGGACTCATCAAGCCCGGCACCGGGTGGTGTCTGGACTCCCCAGGGTTCCCCGTCCACAGGGCACACCTCACCTGTGCAATCTTCTAATGCAGGACCGGCCCCACGGGGTCCCGATCACTGTTTCTTAGCGCGGGGACCCAAACACAAGAAGAGCAAAACTCCCGCCAAGATGCGCGCGCCCAAAGAGGGCGGAGCTACAGGGCACCAGGCTGATGGTAAGATCGCGAGAACTGGCAGAAACTACTAGCGAGCCAGGAGCTCTCGCGAGAGAAAGCTACCAAAGCCTACTTGCAGAGAGACACTTGGAAAAAAAAAAAAAGGAAACTGACCCCGTGACCTCAGAAGGAGTCTTTGGCCTTTCTCCACCTGTCTTAGGGCGGAGTCAAATGAAAAACTGCAGGAGTAATCCCAAAGCAGTTGTCAGTTTCCTCCGGGATCCATGCCACGCCTCTTCTTCCTGGTTGTTGTTGTTTGGTGCCCTCGAGTCGTAGACGACTCATAGCGACCCTATGAATCAACAGCCTGAGCACTGTCCATACATAGTTTCCGGAGGCAAGCCATTTCGGAAGTGGATGCCACTCCTGCTTCCAGGCTTGATTTAGTCGGGAAGCTCCAGCCAACACTGTTCACCATGGGTACCCATTACCACCTTGAAGAATTTTTGACAGGAAAACAATTTGAATCTGGCCGAGGGCCGCAGATGAAAATCACTCACCTTCGGCTTGGGAGTTAACTTCCTTTCCACTAGGCCAACGAATGTCTTCTGCTCCTGGACTGTGGGCCAGACGAACGCACAAGTGAGGCTAGTTCAGTGTTGGAAAACGCTGAGTAAACAGGTGACTCTTGCTTCTGATTAAAAACTTTTGTTTCCTTTTTTTGCACCTGTCTAGACAGGTTTCCTCCATTAAATGTTCTTACTCCTAAGACTTTTTGCCTTAATTCAAAGATAATACCTTTCATTGTTATCTTGAAATTCAAAAAAACCGCCATCATTTTTAATTCAAATGCCCTGCTGTGACTTTGAGTATTGGCTGTTCTCTATTCTACTTAGTAGTTTGCCCTGTGTGTTCCATCACTGCATAGGGAACCCATCATAAAAGTATTATATTTTAGGGCATTATTTTTATCGTAGGAGTATGCAATGAGGGTTGCAGAGTGGATTATATTTGGGGGTAGGGGGGGGGGTTGGGGAGGTTCGGGGGGGGGATTGTGTACCAATGAGGGAGTTTTTCTTTTGCTTTTCAAGGAGAGGAGCAAACGGGGCGGGGGGGGGGTCGGGTGGGGGGGTTTAAGGGGGGAGGGGGGGTGCAACAATGAATGAATGGAATTCCAAAATCTCTGTAGATGTTCATTGAAATGAAAAATAACCTAAATTTTAAAAAAAAGTATTCTGTGTTAAAACCATCTATAGCACATTTTCCGACAACTGTGGAACTCTAGTAACTTAATAGTAAGGCATTGAGCTGCCAATGCAAAGGTGGTAGTGGTTGTTCTTATGTGCCGTTGAGTCTCCTGCTCTATCCTGTGCCAATCTTATTGTCTCTGAGACACCCATCCTCAGTCACTGAATCAGTCCATCTCATCAAGGGTCTTAGTCTCTTTCACTGTCCCTACACCCTCCCAAGCATGACTTCCCTCTCCAAGGACTGGTCCCTACTTGCAACATGTCCAAAGTATGTCAGCTGAAGCTTCGGAAACCTTGTCTCCAAAGAGAAACCTGGTGTCACCCTCTCTAGGATGAACCTAGCAGTCCATGGTATATTCAGTACTATTCTTCAACACCACATCTCAAAGGCATCAAGTCTCCTAACATCCCTAGTCATTGTTCAACTTTCTGATATGTAGCAAATAATTGAAAATATTATAGCCTGGATCAAGTGCACCTTAGTCTCCAGACTGACATCGTTGCTCTTCAGTACTTTGGAGAGGTCTCTGACAGCAGACTTTCCCAATGCAATTTATCTTTTAATTTTCTGGCTTCTGGTACAAAGAGTGTTGATTGTGGAGCCATGCAAACTAAAGTTGTTAACAATCTCAATCTCTTCACCATCTATCATGATGCTGTCAGTTGGCCATGTGGTGAGAATCTGTGTTTTCTTGATGTCCATAATGAAGGCTGCAGTCCTTGACCTTCTGCAAAAAGCACTTAAAATCCTCCTCTATTTCAGCAAGCCAGGTTGTGTCATCTGCATAATGCAGATTATTGCAAAGGCCATTGCTTAGAATTTACCAGCTGCTCAGTGGGGAAAAGCCGATCAATCTCCAGATTGAGAAAGAAAGGGACAGAGTTACCTGAAAACAAAAAGTGATGCTGAAGGGATTAACAGTGCATTGAGACCCATTGCTGTTGGAGAGGTGCATAGAAATAACTGATGTCTTCATAGAGGAACCTGCAGCTCTACCGGGAAGAAGTTCCTTTAAGTACCCAAACTTTCTTCTCCGGTTAATGTCTCTCATTGGCCTGAAAACACAGGACAAAGAAGCAATCTATATACATAGTTCAGACACCTTGGCTAAAGTCTAGGTTGAAGAAGGATGAAGGTAATCAAGCTTAACAGTTATTTTCTTCAATAAGTTATGAAATCCTAAATGTGTGTGTACATCTATATATGTATAACAGCAACTTCAAATTACATAAAGGAAAAGAAAAGCACTACTTATGGGAGAAATACACAAATCAATTCTAGACTTCAATACTTGATAGAATGAGTAGAAAATTAATAAAGATACAAACGACCTCAACAGCATGATCAACCAATTTGACATAATTGACATTTAGAAGGCAATATTCAACAATAGCAGAACATGTAAAATTATCCCTTCATATCCAAGGGGGATTGTTCATGTTCCTTAAATAAAATGCTATAATAACAACAAGCACCTATGCATATCCTCCTATAAATAATCTCTCAATTACTTATAATACCTAATGCAAATGCTGTGTAAATACTACTTTGCACTCCCTTCTTACCCTTTGAGGCATCGTTTTGACCAATTCATGGTTTTTCTCCTCCCTCACATCCAATATTTTTGGTCTGAATTGGTTGACTCTATGAACACAGAACCTGTGGCTATAAAGTGCCAATTATGTAGTGTAGATATGTACATATACATATTTTTAGTGGTAGTGGTTGTTTGAGAATATACACAGCAGAACAAGTTTAAGGAGTTCTACATTTACAATTCAGTGACACTGATGACATTATTCAAGTCATACAGCCATTTTGACCTTTCTTTTCTCCTCCACTGTCAACATAAACTATTGCTTCCTACTTTTTCTATCTAAACTTTAAGTTACTATTGCCAATTTGATCCTATATATAGATCTTTTTTAAAAGAACAAACTAGAACACGTTACTCAAGCCAGACATTCTTTAATATTTAAATTGTTGTCTGGTTTTAAGAAGACTTGAGAAGTATTTTGTGGTTTCAAGTTTAAAGATGATCTCAAGCAATAGTTTTGGTGGTTCATCTAGCCCTACTGGCTTTAGAAAATCTGAACTCCATGATGATTTGAAATTCTGTCCTGCATTTTCTCTTTTTAAATCAGAACTATTTTATAGACTCTTTCATCAAATGTTTCAGTAGCTAGCACCATCCAATGTGCTGTCATGGCAAAAGAGACAGTTGTTTCAGAAAGTCATTAACCACATCATCCATTTCTACCTCCTAATTGTGACTCTTTCCTTTCTTCTAAGCCAAAGGAGACCAATTGTTTTACTTTAATTGCTTTCTTAAAGCTCTCAAAGCTTCAGGCACTGGACAACAAACTGAGATATGAAAAAAAGAGTACTAACTGTGATATTAGAGAGCTCTGGTGGCTTCTTGTTGTTGCTATTGTTAGGTGTCATTGAATCAAGTATGACTCATAGCAACTTTGTGAACAACTGATCTGAATCTCTAATACACTTGAGCCCAGTGCTGCAGTCAGTCTGGGTCAGTCCACCTCGTTGTGTGTCTTTGTCTCTTTCTCTGGCCAACCCTCCACTTTCACAAGCATGATACTCCTTTCTTAGGAATAGCTTCTCGTAGCAACATGTCCAAAGTATGAGAAACAAAGCTTCACTGCCCTTGCTTCCAGGAGCAATCTAGTTGCTCCTTTTCCAAGACATATCTGTTATTTCTTTTGTCAGTCCATGGTGTCAATACCCTTCTCCAACACCATAACTCAAAGGCATCAGTTATTCTTTCATTTTTATTCATTGCCCAGCTTTCTAATTGCATGGTAAGCACAAAGATAGGCAATTTGAACCCACCAGCTTCTCTGCAGGACAAATGTAGGCAGTCTCCTCTCATGTGGTGTACTGTCTCTGAAAAGCCACTAGAGGGTCAGCTATGGGTTGGTTCCAACTTGATGGTACACAGCAACAACACAGCAAACATGGTATTAGGCCAACTAACTGAATGTGCCATGGAACCATGAGGGTTCCTCAGTAAACAAAATACTGCCTGATTCTGTGCTACCCTCACAATTGTTGCTACGTTTGAGCCTGTTATTGTAGCCACAT